CCAGAATCATCTGAAGTGATTTCCCCAGCGGAACATCTACAATGGATCAAGTGGCAGACTTTTACTCCAGTCCCCTTGGTCACCCTTTGGCAACTCATGATCTCTGGGCACTTCGGATTACCCTGCTACAGGTCCTTTGGGTGTGTACTCTTTAAGGAAAGAGTGGATGCTGCTCCTGACATTTGAAGCCTGCTTCCTTTAGCTGGGAATGTCGGAATTCATGAGATCTAAAGTTAGGACCCACCGCCCACTCCCCAATGTTTAAGTACCAAGATGAATGTAGGCAGGAATTGGTTGACAAACATTTAGGGCGGCCACCCCTATTTTTAGTTCAGATACTTATAGAATGACACATGCCGACTAGCCCACAACTGGGAATCACACACCCTGATTCTGCCCAAATAAGGTGGCAGGGAATGTTAACCCCCAGTGAGAGTGGACCTAACAGGTGGACAGTACAAAAAGGCCTGGATGCCAGGGATGGGCTTTTAGTGGGTCAGATTCCAACAGAGATGGGCAAGTTCAAACTGTGCCTTGGGCTTACTCTTCCTGGCTCTGCTGAGGCAGCCCTGCCCTCTTGATAGGGCCTTTACTCTTGTCTCTTCCCCCCTTTCAGTTCTGGCAAGGAACATGAGTCTTCATGCATGGTAAATAATGTTCTACCCCTAGTTACCCACACCTGTTGCTCAAGAGCCATAAACTCTTGCAGGATTGGAAGCCACCTGCAGAGCAGGCCACAGGCTGGAGAGGCACAGAGAGAGACTGCTGTGTTCATGTCCTCATCAAATTTATCTGAAGCTGCTTTAAAAAGGGCAAAGCATCAAACCCAAATGGGGTGTGGAGAGAAGGTTGCGTGTCTTGATGTAAGTGCCTCTGAAAGAGAGCTTCTGTGTTCAGGATGCCACCTATCCACACTCAGGCTACTTGGGTTCTCCGGAAAGTGTCAAGGTCTCAGCAAGTCCATCTAGAAGGCAGCAGCTGAGGCTATGCTCAACCTCGGCACCCAGCTCATCAGGGACAGTAATGAGGCACAATGCACATCTATGCACTCACACATGCATCCACACGCACATGTGTCTGCATGCTTGCAGTTAGCCAGGATCGTGGGGCTAAAGGTAGCAGGGGACATTTGCCTCAGGGACAGCAGCCATGATATAGACATCCGGGTCCAGACTGCACAGGGTCTTATGAGCCTGTGTTCCAGTACTTTGCCCTAACCCAGCATTGCAAGAACTCTTGTAAAGCATGTGGGCGGAAGCTCCTGCTGGGTTTGCTCAAACTTCCTCCTGGGGTCTCATACATCCCAGTGCAGAGCAAGGCATCCTGCAGTTCCATGACTGTGTTAGCAGACAAGCACTGCTAGGATCATCCATCCTCCAGCTACTTTGCAGAGCTGGAGCCTTTGCTGAGCCTCTACAACCCAAGAGGGACTCCCCTAGCTCGTGACCCTAGCAGGAGGCAGGTCGCCTGCTGGATGGATCCTTACCCAGGGGCTCATTAGAGAGCAGAGTTAGACCTCCCAGTGAGATAGTGAGAGCAGAGGAGCTAGGGCAGAGAGGGAGGAGTTTTCTCCCTGAGGAGGGGAAAGGCTGCCGCCGAGTGGCCAGAGGGCTGGCTAGCAGAAATTATTGCTCTAGTGCACAGCTCCATCCACTGACTAGGCTTGTCTCTCTCCATATGGTAATTCTCTCAGTGGGAAGGAAGGGAATCCCCTAAACTGGAAGATTCAGGGTTTCATGGAGTGCATTCCTCAAGGCTTACAGGAGATCTGAGCACAGTACAGAGATGGTGGTGTCTAAGAGACCTGCAAAAGGCTGAGCTGACCACAAGGCCTTGGGGTCCAGCGGAAGGATCCTAGTGTTCAGGAAAGCATGGACCTGGGTAGCATTGTTGACTAGGATGTGATCCCGGGAGGCCTGGGCAGGGGCTAGGGGCTCTGACATTAGAGCTTTCTCCCATCCTCTCTTCCGTCTTCTCCAGTGGTCTGAGCTGCAGTCACAGCCTCTGGATCCTTCAGATTTTGCTCTGGGCTCTGCATATGGGCCTCTGGCTTTCTCATTTGTGTCCTTATTTCCTTGACAGTACCATCTGGGGCTGGTGTGTTCACAACAAATGCTCCCATTAAGAGCAACGGTCACCAAGCAGAAGACCCAAAGATGAGACCCAGGAAGTTGATGATTGGGGACAAAGGGAGGCTGATCCCCCTCAGGATCTGGCTTCCCTAGAGGATTCCATCCTTGGCTCCTGCCTTCTGTCCACTACAGACAGAAAGAGGTTTCTCTGCTAGCCAAGAGTGTGGACCAAGGGGAGCATGGAACATAGTTCTGAGGCTGGAATGTCAGCCAGAGATACTGCTCTCATCTGTATCTCCCGAGTCCAGTTCTAGGTCTTTTCCAGGTCCACAGATGGTTCAGTCTAGCTATGGCAGCAGACTTACATTAAAGAAATGTTTATGCAATGGAGCTTATTGGGGCTTCATCCTATAGAGAAAATCAAGGTCATTCCATGCAGTGGTAAGTGTGTGTGTGTGTGTGTGTGTTTGAATTCTGTAGGAAAGAGACAACTGTGTGTCTCCAAAAGGAGCTGTAGTCATCACAAGGCTGTGAGATTTTGCTTCAGAATCTCCAGGATTTATTCACAGATCAAGGGAGTCAGATGAAACTTCCAAACTAGGCGCTGTGGAGATGCTCAGTGGTTAAGGTCACTTGCCTCTCTTGCAGCTCATAACTGCCTGTACTTACAGCTCCAGGAGGTCTGATACATCTACTAGTCTCCTTAGCCATGTGCACTTACACATGCATGCAGACACACCTGCATGTACACACAACTACAAGTGAATCCAGTCTTTAAAAATAAACCCTAAACTGTTCCGATGATCCCCTCCCCACCAAACACAGAAAATAGCTGTCCTGTAAGGGTCCATGATTCACCGAAGAATGATACCCTGGACTCAAATAGTATGTAAACTCAATGAGTGCTTTTAATTTTCAGAGGTCCAGCATGCTGGGGTCTAACATCTACAAAGATGGAGAGACCCGGAAGTGAGCTTGCAGGCCTGCTTTAAAGCATATTAGGGATATTCCTGGGAGGGATAGGTGACCTCTACCTTAATCTTGGCTCTACTCTCTAGGGACATTCCAGAATCATTGCTGGGGCCTGGGGGGAGGGACTGGAAACTATTGCTGGGGAAGTCTGGAAACTGTTGCTGACCCATTGTCCTTGCCTCAGGCCAGGTGGCAGCGCAACTTCTGAAGCCTGGATTTGCCTGGGCTTGCCCAGTGCTTGGAAACAGAGATTTAGGTCTTGTCTCCTGAACTGCCAATCAGAAGCCTGTCATGGAGTCAGCCTGTCTCAGTCCTTTGTGTAGCGCTAGCTGAACACAGTGTGCTGAGTGTCTCTGAGGGTGCTCAGTGGTCATAGGTGAATGGAAAGGCCCTTTGCTGATTGCACAAGCAGAGCCTCTGTCTCTTTCACACCTAGGAGATCAAGGCTCAGGAGGCAGCCTCCTGGGAGCTCAGTGGGAAGGGCCCAGCCACCTGTTCTCTCCCATGGGAGACCCACTGAGTTACATGAGAGGAAGCTGAGATCCAGTTGGTCATTGGCCTGAGTGGTGTGGATTTATGTCCCCATTGTTGCTATTTTTATTTTCTGGAATTTCAACCAACTGCAGTCTATCATGATCTGAAAAGCTTAACAGGAAAACTTCTGAAACTAGGTATATGTATATATATATATATGAAAAGGTGTGTTTATATAGGTTTGGAACTTTGTGGTTTCAGGTGTCTGTGGGGAGTCTTGGGCTGTATTTCCCACAGGTACAGTAATAGTCTCTGGTCTCCCAGCCCTAACACCTTCAACTTGGCTTGATCTTTGGCTATATTATTAAGTTCTCAGCATCTCTGCTTTCTCATTCACCAAATGGTGATGATAACAGGGCCCATGTCACAGAGTGAATGTTAAATTAAATATATGGTCATCTTGACTGTACACAACATCTGTCTCAGAATAAGTGACTGAGGATCGCCAACATTCTCCAAGGCCCACAGTCTTCGTAGCCTCACTGTGGAACCACCAGTATACTAATGAGTGTGGTCTCTGTCTCTGAGTTTGAAGGCCTGGCCAGAATCATGAAGCATCCTTGCATGGTGGCCTTGCCTTACAGTCTCCATCATTCATTCATTCATTCATTCATTCATTCATCTGACATCTGTTGAGACTTCCTATTTGTCAGGTACTATGTCAAGTGCTGGACACTCCTCTGCAGCCATTGGGGAGATCACCAAGACACACTCAGTGGCTGAGAGCTAGCTGAGAAGCTACTAGCATGGCAACTGATTCCCAGCAGTAATATGTAAATGTTGAATTAATGTTGCCTTGTTCAGTTAAATTGGAGAACTACAGGGATGTTGAGGTTCCAAAGGGGGCAGCTCACCTATGTGTCGAGAGCCAGGGAAGAAATGACATAGAGCCAAGACTAGAAAAGGGCAGAGAGGGAAGTAGAAGGGGCTAGACCAAGGGAATGGCCCAATGGCAGATGTCTGGGTAGATTACATAGGTTGGTAAGAATGAACTGGATACAGACTAGGATCAGTACAGGGTCTTAGAAACTGCTCAGGAATAAGGTGCTGAGCCCACCAAGATTTTGTACACTGGCTGGGCTTTAAGGAAAGATGTAGTACCTTAGCAAGGCCCTGAGACTGTGCATGTGTGTGTGTGTTTGTGTCTGTGCACATGCCTGTGGATATTTACTTGAAGAGCAGAAGAGGACATTGGGTGTGCTGCTCTATCACGCTATCTGTTCCCTTGAGACAGGGTTTCTCACTGAATCTGGACCTGTGCTGATGGCCAGTAAACCGCACTAGCCTGTCTCTATCTCTGTCCTGCTACAGCACTGTAGTAACAGGCATGGGTGTGACCATGCCTCTCTCCCCTTGTAAAATGCAGGTGCTGGGGATTGAACTTGGGTTCTTACGCTTGTGCAGCAAATTCTCTTACCTCAGAGAAGCCCCCTGCCCTGGCTGTGGTTTCTAACAAGGCTTGGGATTCTTTCTTTGCAGGCATTGGAGGAGCTCAAGTGCTGGCAATGGGCAAATCTACTGAGACTGAGATTGGTAGGTGGTCTCCTTGCTTGTTCTGTATACAGAGCTGGAGTCATATCTTGCAAAGAATCCCAGTATATGCTGTGTGTGTTCTTGTTACCCAGCACACAGCTTGCCTACAGTCCCACTGAGTGGTCAAATAGTTTTATTCTAGGGATACAAGGCCAGCTCTGTGTGCTGTCTGTCTCTAATCAACAGCCCTAGCTCTCCCCAGTGCCTTACCCTGTATTTATGGGCCTTTGATATCAAGTTCTACCATTCTCCCTGGTCCTCATTTGTGAGGCAGTAGACCATGCCACCAGACAGAAGAACTGGTAAGGTTGTTCAGAATCCCAATAAAATTCTTAATTGAGAACGACAGGAGTTTGGGCTAGCTCCAGTCAAGATTCCAATCCTGGGGAACATGACTATGACACTCAACTAAGAGGACCATAGGAACTAGTCACACAGCATAAAGCCTATAGTTCTCCATGCTAATAAAATATCTAGGGTCCCTGAGTGTTTAGCCAATAAGCATCTCTTCCTAGGCATCCCTTCCTGCAAAAGGTATTTAATCTCTGGTCCACCCTGAGTGGCATGCATTCTAATCTGCCATGAATAAAGCAATTTGGACAAAGACTGTCTCCTTCATCAAGGACTGCCATGGGGGGAGGCCTTCATCATACAGAGCTGGGCCTAAGTCTCCTGCAAAAGGCCTCTCTGCACTTGCACCCCCCCCCCCACACACACACATGCAATCATGAGCTCGTTGCTGGCCTGAGGGCCCAGAAGCATCTGGGTGCCCAGGAGTTTGAGAACCACAGCCTCCATCCCAGCCACTAACATCTTTCACTCGGAAAAACACAGGCTGGGACCCCATTTTAGACTGTATTTCACCTCCCCTGAGTGGCATGTTAACAGTCTATGAGACCAGCATCCTAGCAGTGAGGAAGAAACACAGACTAGCACCCCTGGATTTTGCCTTCCAGAGACAAGTCATCAAAGTTCTGACTCCCCACAGTGAGGCTAAAGGCAGACCCACACTCGTCTATATTCATCTGCCCCTTTCCCATAGTGTCTGCTCCATCTCATATTGAAGCCTGCTTTACTAGCAAGGAGTAATCCACACATTACCTCCACTGAGAATGCTCTGGGCCCCAGGACTCCCACACCAGTCCAGACCACTTGTCATGTGACATTACCGTGAGCTCTTTACCTGCCCTTCTCAGCAGACCCAAAGCTCCTTGAAGATAGGGCAGGTCCTTCCCCATTAGCTTTTAGGTTCACCACAGTTTCAAATCCTCGATAGATGAGTCAATGAATGACTTAAGGTAGGAGAGCAGGAAGCTAGAGGAATAAGCTGCCTACACCAGAGCCAGTCCTGGGAAACTTGAATGTCCCTCATTCTGATAGCTGGAGAGATCAGGGTGGGGCTCTGTGGACGGTGAGGGGCTGGGAGTGGAGAATGTAAATTGGGGCTAGCACCGCAGGTTGTCATGCGGGATTTAAAGTCCGGGAACATGACCCTGAACTTCATCTAGAACTCTTCAAGGCTGACAGCTGAATCCTGAGTTCAATTCTTCCCTGTACTTCAGATTTCAAATATGCCATCATTGGTATGGCATTGGGAGTAGCCATATCTGCAGGGTTCCTTGCCCTGAAGATCTGCATGATCCGGAGACACTTGTCTGATAATGACTCTGCAGACCTGAAGAATACGCCCCAGGGTAAGGGAGCCATGACAATCAGAACCTGCACTGCTCTTCAGAAGAAAGGATTGTCTCTGTCAGTTGTCCTTTTGTGTTCCTGTGACAAAACTCAAGAGGCAATCAATTTAAAGAGAGGAAAGGGATTGGGGCTCACAGTGTTGAAATTTTGATCCATGCTCTATTAATCTTCCTGGTTTGGGGTTGATATAATAAGCTATGAGTGTGGAGGAGGAAACTGGTTCTTCTCAGAGATAAGAAACTGGGGCTCTACAATCCCCACAAGGACATGCCCCAAGGCCTAAGATTTCACAGTGGGTCCCACCTTTTAAAGATTGCCCCACTTTCCAAGAGCACAATGATCTAGGGAATAAGCCTTTAACATATGGACCGTTGGAGAACATTCTAGACCTGTGCTATAGCAAATGATATCCTGTGAGGCCACCTAATGGGAGATGTTGAGGGACACTGTGGCAAAGACAGAGCAAACCCACAAGCCCGCAGCCTAGGAACTTCCACAGAGAACCAATGGGGGGGGGGGATCTCTGCAGCTATCTTCCTCTGTGTCTCCCTGCCTATATCTCTGTCACTGTGCACTTCTGCATTCAAACACTTTTGGTATTCTTGAGAATTAAGCTTTCTGGAGAAAGATGGGAAGATCTGAAGTCAGTTTTAAAACGAGACCTCTGTTTTCTTGTCCCATGGATATGATGAGATCGCACCGATCCCGGGGGACCTTAGGGTCCCGAGATCGGCTGGTTGATAGGCAGGTCATACCCAGAGCAGGGCAGAGTGATTGCAGATGACACAAATGACACAAATGCGGCTCAGCTCGTGTTCCACAGTGAACAGCAACATAGCAGTTCACAGCCTGTGCTGCATCGGGATGGCCTCCCTGAAAGACCTGAGCCGTTTCTCTGTGAGTCATACAGTAAAATGTGACATGGACTTGCACCTCTTTCTCTGGAAGACACCCACAAAGTAGCCTCAGAGGTAATGAAGATGATGATGGTGAAATTTTTTTGTGGGGAAGTTCTGAGTACAAGGAGGAAGAAGCCTCTCTTAGAAAACATGACTATGACCCATAAAGATACATAGGGAAGGATAGCGTGGGCCTTGAGGAAGCTTCTGGAAATGGACATCACTGGTCACAAGCACCTGTCTGTCTTTGACCAAGTAAGAGTGGAAGAAGCTATCTTCCTATCCCACTGTCCCCAGCCTCCATTCTTCTGAGGACTTCAGCCCCCTTGGGAGACTCAGGCTGTAAGCAAAGGGATTATGAGTCATATAGGGGACACTAAGTCACACTTGTGTGCTAGCCAAGGGGCTCAATCACTGGTCTTAGAGAGGTTCCAACAGCACTAAGATGTACCTTGAACCATTTCCCAATGGGTGACACACCATAGAGCTCTTCCACCCTGCTGGCTTTGAACCCTCGCATCTTCTAGCTGGGCAAAGGAGTCACAGGCTTTCCTTGCTAATTCTCTGCTTTCTGTTTAGACACCATCTTGCTGAAGAAGAAAAGACCCAGGTAAGATTGTTGCAGATTGGTCAGTGGGGTACCCCCCTACTCACCACCCCACCTCAGCTGTTGGGTTACTGAAATGCACCCCACAGGTCCTGCCTACTACTCTTCCTTTCTTTGGGTGGTGGTAGGGTCATGAGAGCAGTGGTCTCAGGGCACAGTAGCCAAAAGCGTCAGATTTGTCTTTGCATACCTAGGGTTAGACTCCTCCCCAACACCCTGTTCAGAACATGCATGTTTTACACTTAAAACAAAGTCCTCACCTTCTCCATGACCAGGGTCTGTTCCAGATTAAATTCTCCTGCTAGCACCTGGCAGCTTAGCTTTACTTCCCTGGGACCTTTGCACTCACCATTTTCTAACACAGCTCAGACGTTTGTAAGCCTCACACCTCATTTCCTTTATAGCCCTGCCTCAGTGCTACCATTTGATTTTAGATAGACTGCTTTATTTAATCAAGGGCAACTCACTCTGCCCTTCTTTCTCCTTTCCGTGTGTGCACACGGCTGTGCTGTGCCATCCCAGTCTTGTACACATGTATGTATGTGCAAATATGTGGATAACAGAATCTTATGTTGAGTGTCTTACTTAATCATTCTCCCCTGTATTTTTTGAGTTGAGGTCTCTTACTGAACCTGGAGCTTGCCGGTTTGGTTAGGCTGTCTGGCAGCAAGGTGCACGGGGCCCCGTGTTGCTCCTTTCCCAGGGCTGAGTTACTGGAACATGCCTGGCTTTTGCATGGTTGCTAGGGATCTATGCTCTGCACACTTGCTGTAAGAACTTTTCTGACTGAGCCATCTCCCAAAGCCCTGGCTTTATTTTTCTCTATAGCTCTTTTCTACAGTTGCATCACATGTCATTAAATTCTGTGGATTCTTGTTGTTGTTGTTGTTCATTTCCCACTTTAAAATATAACCTCCTTGAAGGCAGGTCTTTCTTTTCATCTCTGTGGCCCTAGCAGGTATCCCAGTGCATGGTATAGAGTGTGAGCTTTTGTCTGTAATGAATGAAATGAAATGAAGTGAAACAAAATGAAATGAATGGACACGAGGCCATGAGACAGGGACTGGGTGGCAAGAGAGGGAAGACAAGCTCCCTCCAACTACAGAGGTCACAGGTGTCAGTCATCTGAGAGTCATCTGAGGCAGGAAAGGCCTGTCTGACCCTGTGTGTGCACACAGAGGTGCCAAGGGCTGCATACTCAGTGGAAAGTAGATGTGTGAGGATATAGGTAGAAAGCATGGAGGAACCCCGACAAGCACAGTGGCCCTTGGAAGAAGGACTCCAGTGGGCATTTGGCCACTGTAGCAGCTGTATGAGAGCAGATGTTTCTCCTTATGGTATGGGGAAGGAAGCTGTTGAAGAGAGAAGAGGATTCAGCTTCTTGGGGTTCGAGGAACTTTGAATAAGTGAATGATTCTGAACCATGTCCTGAAACTTCCTGTAGAACACCAAGGACTTGGGGAGGGAGCAGGGCAGTGGGTTGGTCACAATTGTCCTCATGGGGTTAGTAGAAGGGCCTGTGTAGATAAGATCCCTTCTGGATGCCCCTTCAGTGCTCAGACTCTTCTATAACAACCTCTGAATCACAGCCAGGAGGCTGCAGAAAGAACACAAAAGTGGGAAGGTTCTGGATTCTTTGAGGCATGGGAGCTAGAGGAGGCAAGAGCTGTTCAACAATGAATCCTCAAAAGCAACAGCCAAGGGCAGTGGAGGAAGGAGAAGGAGCTACCGAAGCAGAGGGACAATGTCAAGTCTCCCAGACTAACAGTAGATAAAGTTGGTGAGCCCAGGCAACTTGAGGTCCTAGGAAACCACTGAGCACAGGAGCCAGGACCTCCACACAGCCCAGTCTCATTTTCTGGTCTGTACTAGGCTTTATTCCCAGCATCCTCCTCTGTTCCCAGGCTTGTCCTCAGCATCCTCCCTAACAGAAAGGAAAGCTGGCATTGCCCTGGTGGCAGCTGTGGCTTTTCTGATTGCCATGATAGGAATGCTGGCACTAGCTAGAGAGCTTGCTTGGACAACATTCCTTTAGGACTATGGGACGTTCTCTGGGATGATCTTTTGGCCACACTAAAAGTGAAACTGTGGTCTTTTTGCACAATTAGAGTTGAGAAGACTGGGCTTTAAGAGAGGAAGAGTCCAGTTCTTTCATAACTTTCCTTTTGACAGTGGCCAATCAGTTAGCCAATGCAGTCCAATTAATAAAAACAAAATTCCAAACACCACTCTGTCAGTAGACTTCAGTGTAGTTCACTGTCTGGTTCTCATTCTGCTTTGTGAGAGTCTGAGAGTGAGAAAGCCCGCATACTGGGAGCAGACACTGAGGGGCAGAATCTCAAGGTCTTGTTTGAACTTGCCCTCCTCTGGTTTATCTGCATGCTATAGCAAGATCCAACTGTCTGGGATGGCCTCTCTAGATCTGGAATCATGCTGTATCTCCTCTCTTGTCCACTTTCTGTTTGAGAAAAAAAATCTTGAAATCTATAGAAAAACTGAAAAGCTGCAAACAAAATATGTATGTTCCCTGCACGTCTTCTCCTACTCCCTGAATTGTTCATTTTAAACTACTTGTGGTAGTTTGAATATGCTTGGCCCAGGGAATGACACTATTATGTATGACCTTGTTAGAGAAAGTGTGTCATTGTGGGGGTGGGCAATGAGACCCTCCTCCTAACCACTTAGAAGCCAGTCTTCTAGCTACCTTTGGAACAATATGTAGAACTCTCAGCTCTTTCAGTGGCATGCCTGCCTTGACACTACGGTGCTTCCCACCATGATGATAATGGACTGAATCTCTGAACCTGTAAGCCAGCCCCAATTAAATGCTGTCCTTTATAAAAGATGCCTTGTTCATAGGTCTCTTCACAGCAGTGAAACCCTAAGACATTACCCAAGTTGATAATTGTACAGTTCCATTTTTTTCCTTCATTCTTTTATTGGGGGAGGGGCTCAAGAACACCAAGGAGAGAGGCAACCCTGCTTGTGTTGCCTTGGCATCGTTCTGTGTCAGGAGGTGCATACCTAACTCCTACCAGTCTTTCTGTTGGTGATGCTTCTTATGATAGCTTGGCTAGGGAAGCCAGCGCTTGTTCTCTGCACATTAGAGATCCTGATGTTCTTTGTCAAAGATTTCACATCTATTTCTAATCTATCCCTCAGTCAGCCGTTGCCATTGGTGGTTACAAAAATATTGTGTGTCCAATCCTGATACCTCTTCTGCATCTAACAGTGGTCATTCATTTCTTTTTTGGGGGGGGTGCTTCTCTATTTTTTCTTCTTAGTTTTTGATTGATTGTTGTTATTCTAGACTTCAATGCCTTTTAATCTATAGCTCTCAAAATTCTTTGTTCCTCAAAGTGTCTCAAGTTGAGTCAGTATAAGGTATTCTTGATGATGAAGTGGGCCCTGTGACAACACCCTGTTGTCCTGGAGCACCTTTCAGACTAAACACATATACATACTTACAAACACACAGACACATGCACATATGCACACACACATATACATACATACATAAATATATACATACACATGCAAACACACAGACATATACACACAGACATACAGACACACCTACACATGCAAATGCACAGACACGCAAAAATACACACAAAGAATGCACAGACATATACACAGACACATACAGACACAGATATATACACAGACACACACACAGACACACGTATATACACAGACACACTGACACACAGACACACAGACATAGATATATACACAGACACATGCACGCATGCGTGCGCACACAGAAAGACACACAGACAGACATAGACATATACACAGACATACAGACACACACAGACACACACACAGAGACATACAGACACACACACACACACACACACAGTATCTCAGGTTCTCTTTGTACTGTGCTCATCCAGAGTCACCCTTCACCCTTTTCCTCAGATTTTTTTTTTCTGTTTTAATGGGGATAACTTTCAGAAATGCAGATTTGCACAGCATGTGCCACATTCATGGCCACCAGCATGTCTTTTTTCCTAGGTTCTTTCAGTGTATGTATGTAAACAGCAAAGCCAATTCTCTGAGGTCCCTGAAGCTTCCCCATCTGCGTTTCTTGGTGACCTCCTCTGAAGTGGAGACCCTGGTTCTTTCCCATGGCAGGATTTCCCCCTTTTGCTTGAATCCAATAACCACACACTATGTGAATCACAGCGGTGTTCTGGCACAGCCTGCCCAGCAAGCAGGATGGCGTCTCTGCAGCACCTTTTGCTTGTAGAGTTTTGCTTTTCATGTATATGCAGCCAGAGTGATGTGCTCAATTTAAACAATAATTTTCTCTGTGGGGTTAATGCTACCAATCTGATACTAATTCTTAAGTCTCAGGGACTTGGTTAGTTTAATGTTGTAGTTAAAACCCTGAATTTTATTTTTGAAAGTGTAAAACAGGAGCAAAGGCCAAGGACTACTTAAACATAAACACAGAGATACTGTTGAGATGTTTCTGCTGTGAGGTCACCATCTCAGTGGGTCATGGCCGATTGAACCCTGTCCTTGACCCTTTCACAAAGACATTTTATTGAGTTTTAAACATTTACATACAACCAGTTTTAATTTTATATATTACCTTAACAGATATATTTTTGTGGTATTTTAAGTTTTTTTTTAAATCCTGACTTGATTCACTGACATTCATTCTGGTTTGTGATATGAGCTACAGATACAATTTGATCTGTTGCATGAAGATCATCCTCATTAAAAACATTGGTTAATATGTCTAGTGTAGTAGATCATGCCTGTAATTCCAGTACTGGCAGGATTGCCAGTTAGAGACCAGCCTGAACTAGACAGTGAGTCCCTGTCTCAGAAACAAATGCATGGTGCTGGAGAGATGGTCCAGCATTTAAGGGCTCTCTGCCCTGCCAGAGGACCTGGGTTCAGTTCCTAGTGCCCATGTCTGGTGGTTCACAATCACCTGTAACTCAAGCTCTAAGGTGATCTGATACTCTTTTCTGACTTCCAAAGGCATACACGCATGTGCATGTGTACATACACATGTTCACACCCTCCCCAAAATAAATAAATCAATCTTAAAAGAATACAAACCAGAGGACAAATGGTGGTACTAGCCTCACTCTCTTTTCTGCCTGATTTGCTCTCAGTTTCCTCGATGGCTTGGATGTTTCTGGACTTGGCCACCTGTGGTCAGCAATGGGCAGATACCACACTATGACTGGTGGTGGTGGGGTTCCAGGTAGGCTTTGCCATCTGGAAGGCTGGTTCCTCCCAACCTTGGCTTACCCACACTGTGTTTCCCCCTCAAGGAAACACTTGCTAGCTTAGTTCTGCAGCCTTAGGCAAGACTTTCCAGTCAACTTCAGAAGTTTGCCATAAAAATAAGTGTTTTGGTATTTCATTGGGAGATATATTATTTTGATACATTAGATTGATGTTGATTAACTTCATTGTGACATTAACCAGAAATCCATGGGAGGAGGAATTCTATTTTATTTTTGAGTAATAAATGTGTTAATTACACATATTACTGGGTTTAGCACGTGTCTCAGTTCACGTTACAACCAGACACAATTCAAACACCTCGTGGCTTTATCCCTCCTCTCATAATCAGTAATCCATGTTCAAGTTAACTTTTTTCTTAACATCCACCTGTGTTCAATAACATATAACAGTTTTCTGTGTCTAGCTCACTTCACTTAACACGATGCCCTCCAGCTCTACCCACGTTCCACACATCATCAACTTTCTTTGTTCTTCACGGCTGCATACCCTGTGAATATATACTGTGGTTTTATTACAAAGACACACAACATGTCTATTTCCATGTGTTTCATGAAAGCACTTGGGTTTTATTGCAAAGGTACTCATTTTTCTTGGTAAGTGTAATCCTAGGTATTTTGAACATCTTGGGTGTTTAATGTCTTTCCCGTTACTTCTCCGACCTGGTCTTTGAATGGCCGCCCTCATGGATTCTTGCATCATTTGGCTCCATTTCTCTTTGGTCCCTTTGGATTTTCATGACACCCTCTCATCTGCCAAAGCACACTTCTTCTTTCCCGGCTTTTATGGCACTGCTTGCTCCCTCTTCTCTGATGCATCTTAAACTGCCAGTGTTAAGTGAAGGGTGACACATGCCCCGTGCCTGACCTTGATGGGAAGGAAATCCATTCGGCATCCACTAAACAAGAAATTGGCTTTAGAGTGGGCCGTCTGAAAAAGACTTTACCCAACACGGTTAGTGGACCACTTCCTCATCAGTGAAACATTTCTGACAAAATCCAAGACCCATTCCTACTTTCCAAATCTCAGGCTTTGCTTGGCTCACCAGACATAGAAGCACATATTGGCTTTATTTATCTATTTATTTATCCTTCTCCTTTTGGCCTACATGTGATTTCTGGTGAATATGATAAAATATTTTGGCTTAACAGTCACTCTAACTGTATGGTGTCCAAAATTTTTTGATCTCTCTCTTCCTACCCACGGCTGGGCAGTCTAATTCCAATACTCAACCAGACAGCTTATGTTGTCCCTGCCTCTGCCCGGCTTTCCTTTTATTGCAGGTTGTGTCTGGACCCCAGGAGTCTGTTGTCATCCACAGTTCTGACTCCTGTGAGAGGATGACTTTGTCTAGGAGGCACTTCCCTAGCTCAGGGAGGCTGTAGCAAGGAGGCTGTCGTACTTGAGTTGTTCATATCTTCACTGCTGAGCATGCCCAGACACCAAGAGTTCTTTCCACAACGGCTTTAAAATTTGGGGCTGGTTAAACTCAACAGAAGTAGTGAACCATGTGCTCAGTCTCTGCCTGTCTAGACCAGCACCCACAAACTCCATATTCTTTTGGACCATTCTTCTTTTTAGAGAGATGCACTAGCATTTGACAGCATTGGAAACCTTCTCTTAGGTTTTCTTCTTCACCTGACTCCACCTCTTTCATCAGATCTACTTTTTTGAAGTTTCTATTAATGTATATTAGTTTTACAGAACAATGGGTTTCTTCCTGACATTTTCAGGGGTGCATATACTGTACTTATTTCAGATCACCCCCATCTTAGTTTGGTTTCTATTGCTGTGATGACAATCATGACCCAAAGTAGCTTGGGGAGAAAAGAGTTTGTTTCATCTTACAGCTTCCAGTCCTTCCACGAAGGGAAGTTGGGGCAGTAACTTGAAGCGGGAGCCTGGAGGTGGGACCTGAAGCAGAGGCCACAGAGGAAGGCTGCTAGCTGGCTTGCTCTCTAGCCTTATCCAACAACCAGAGAGGTGGTCCTAACCAAAAGGGGGCTGGGCCCTTCCACATCAAGAAAATGCCACCACAGACTTGCCTACAGGATGGATGTATTTTTGTATCTGAGGTTCCCTACCCCTAGATGAGCCCTGTTTATGTCAAATTGACAAGAGACTAAGTGGCACACTCCTGTTACTCTCTTTCATCTGTCACCATGCCATTCTCATTTCTAGCTTGCTTATCATCATCGTCCATTATGCCACTGAGCTCTGTAAGCTTGAGGGTCACTTGTGTCCCTAGCCCCCAGACACAGGCTAGGTGAAGGTATGGCATCTGTTTTATGGTCCTTTACTTGCCTTGTGCCATGCATGCTCTGTTCTGCAGTCTTCCTGCTATGGTTTCTCTTATACAGGAGACGTCAGACAACACAAGCACAAGATTGTTGCTGAACAGACCCAATGAATAGCATTTGCAATTAGGGAACAGTCAATGCAAGCATAAGCAAGACATTCTACTGTGATGCTTATGGGATCAGATGATGCTTATGGGAAACTGTAATATTGGTATGAATCCTGTCTCCTTCATGGAGATGTTGGTGATCTCTATGAAGATGTTTTGAAGCCAAGAGCTTTGTGCCCCAACCTCCAGATCCAGGTGTTTGTATTAGGGCCTAGTTTGGTGACTTCATTTTTTCTTGTTTACCTTTCTTTCTTTCTTTTTCTTTTTTTTAAAATCATGGCTAGCACCTTCCCTCCTGTCTGAGCTGGTACAGAAGCTAACAACTTGTGGTTTATAGCTGAAGGCCTCATTTCCACTACATTCCCATAAGCCTCCTTACTTTCTTCCTCTTAGCATACATCCAGATCTGGACATATTCTTCTTATATAGACAGTGATGCTTTCCCAACATATTCTGGTTGACCTTGAAGAATGAGTCCCCAACACTACTGTATTGAAATAGGTGAACCTTGGGTTTTACAAGTAGAAACAGCTTTGTGGCTGGTTCCTGGCTTCAGCACTGGCTGCAGGCATCTCTCTGTGTCAATCGAGGAGATGCTCCCTGGTGCTGACATCTGCTGGTGAACAACTCAGCAAGTGCTCACTGTGCTGCCAACACACAAAGCAAACAGTAAGAACACAATCTCGCTAACTGTGAATCTTCCACATTCCTGTCCCTTTCTAGAGATGCCCAGGTGATTGAGCTGTGAGCTGCTAGCTACATCAGAAGAAGCTTTAGGTACTTTGAGTCTGAATATTCAAGGCTAATGACAGATCATTACCTGAACTCAATATAAGAGCAGGTACTAAATGGACTACAGTCGGCGGCACCTGTGTCCCCAGGGAAGCTATCATGCCTGTTCTGCAAAAGTGTCTGCACAGGGGAAGTACATGAATGAACAGCAGGGAAAAAGGAAAGTCCACATCTGTATTTCTCAACCTAGATGCCCATGGAGGAGCTGTGCAGGCTTCTACGACAATATTGTATTCACATCAATGAAATCTCACCCCAACATGGCCCATGGACCAAGCCAAGACAGCTTCTTCCTCAGCGCTGTGGGGCTACAAGCATTCAGGATTAGTTTTATAGAACTCATGGCCTTGCAGTCTTAGCTGCCAGGAGATTCCCACTTTAAAGACAAACCGTGTAAGTATCCAGGGGAGCATCGAGCTGATGAGTCATTATCAACAGAAGACTGACCTTCTAAGGGGAGAGAGGACAGCCTAGGGTGAAGTGAGAAGGACACTGACAGCCCTGGGAAGGGCCTTGGAGACCCAGAGCAAGCTGGTATGGTGCCTCACAGAGAGCGACAGGAATGCAGGCTCGCATTGTCTCCCACACACAAAGATTTTGTGCTGATTGTTGCAGTATGCATCGTCTCTGCATGAAAGGTTCAGGAAACCTACACACTGCTACTCTTGTTATCAGAATAGAATTCAGAGCACAGGCTCTGGGAACATTCCCTCACAACTGAATCATTCCTGTCTTGGAAGACTCCGCTTTTCCAGTCTGCAGGAAGGCAGGTGGCTGTGTGGTCTGGGTCTCCTCCGATGGGTTACCTTTAGCATGCTGTGAGAAGGAGGAACTATTTTTCAGAATGAAGCGCGGCATTACAATAACGTCTGGAGTCCCAGGGTGTCTTGTCTGCCTTGATAATGGTGCTACTCATTAGCAGCTTCTGTTAACTGATCACCTGAAGCAGTTACATGGTACTCATAAGCAATCTTCCGTGTGTGAGATAGAATAAATCATCGTGTACTGGAGCTGGTAATTGATTTGTTTCTTTTAGCGGCGTTTTAATTAAAACATCTGGTTTGTGAATGGCAGGATCGCTTGTGAGTGAAGGTAGATGGCTTTGGATTCTCAGTTCCTGTTCTACATTTTCTACATATAATGCAGGGTCTTCCCTACCACTGCATCTCGAGATGTATTTCCCAGACATGAGTTTGGTTCCCCCCTTGCCCAACAAAAACAGAGAGATGCTTGGTCATATGAAACTCTGAGAAAGGCATCACCCCCATGATTGCAACCTTGGGTGAACACTGTGCAGCAGGCTTTACTTAAGGCATATTAAGATGACTATGAGGTCACTAGGTGATGCAGTCTTATGGTACACTGTCATAATGCTGTCTGTTCTTGGGTGAACAGCATCTTCTCCCCAGGTGGCTGGGGGTGGGGGCTGATGACATGAATAGGGAATCATTAGCCATGAGACCTCCCTGGCTTACTCCCCAACCCCAAATTCAGTGGAAGTCCTTCTAGCTTTAACGGAAAACTCCCAGGCCCTTCTTGAGAGCAGTTCTCTCCCAGAGATGGAACTCTAGAGGATCCCTCCTTCTTCAGATGCAGCTTCCAGGGAGGGAACTCCAGAAGACAGTAGCTCTTGGAGATATTGGGGGCAACCTCAATGAACAGTGACAGTGTTAGAGGCTGTATCTTGGGGGTAGGGCCATTCAGACCTGGCTGTCTCACCCTCTCATTTGAGAACATTATAGCAGAGGCCAGGCATGAAGCAAATTCTACTTTCCTGGCCTAAGAGACCATGGAAGCTCCAAAGCACATATGCCACACACACACACACACACACACACACACACACACACACACACACACCACCAGTAGCTGGATGGAGAACACCATAAAGAGCAAGGATAAGTGACTCAGTCTAGCTGTGGTGTAGAACCTGTAGGACTCAGTACTTGAAGGAAGAAGAGGGAAGGTGAGAGGATTTTCTGACGAAGTCAGTGAATTAAAAATCATCCAAGAATGTATCTACTTAGAAGTTAAAAATAATGACATGTAATTTCTAAATGAATTCAAAACATAAGTGCACACACACACATACACACACACTCTACCACATATTAAAAGTACGCAGAGGCAATTGTAAGACATGGGGGAGGGTTTGTAGGTGATGCTTTGCTCCCCTTAGCATCATGAGGTGGAAATGTCAGCCTGATTTCCAAATGAGCTGATATCCCACTATATCCTTCCCCAGTTCCAGCAGGAAGGGAGTGTAGTTGTGGCCGAGCTAAGGTGATGTGAGGATGGATAGGTTGGGGGATAGTGGAAAAGAAGGAGACTTAGCCCACTCCCAGGGTCAGCCAAGCCCACTGGCTTGGGCTAGACCTACCTAGCTAGGAAGGGTCTGCAGCTGAGTCCTCAGTTTTTAAACTGATGCTTGAGAGCCGGGACAGGCTGGCTACATTTTCCACAGGGGTGCCAAGAGTTGCTGTGGAGGTTGTACCTGAGAATTGGGGTTATGAACACATGTGTGGATGTCTATTCTGGGATGTGTTTAGAGATCCCTGGTAGATATGATGATATAGGGGGAGGGGAGAAGCAGACTGGAGGAGATGAAGGAGACAGGAGGGGCAGCAGAGACAGAGGATGCTGAGCCCAGAAGAGCCATGTCATGAACACAGAGAAGTGGCCAGTGACAGCAAGCCTGCTGAATGGGGACGGGGAATAAGGAGGAGGCATTGGGCTTCTCAAAACACATCCTGAGAACTTATTCTTTTCCTCCTGGGTCATTTGTCACCACTCAGACTTGTCATACTAATTAATCAGCCTTCAAAAGTAGGCCTTTCCAGAAGCATATTGCTATCAGATGACATCTAAGTGGCACATCTCCAGGTCGTGAAAGCAGAGAACAGGATTGTCCCTGAGCCTATACAAGCCCAGTCTTGCTGGTCAGTGTGTCTTACGTCCAAGTGCTCATGGTCCTGAGTTTCAGCCAACGCTGAGTATGTGTGCATGCATGCATGCATGCATATGTGTGTGTGTATGTATGTGTGTATGTGTGTGTGTGTGTGTGTGTGTGTATGAGAAAGAGAATTAGTGTTGTGTGAGAGAAAGTGGTATGTGATTGTGTCTGTGTTTGTGTGAGTATGTGTGTGTGAGAAAGAGAATGATAATCAAGAGTATTGTGTGAGTGTGTGTGAGTCAGATGTGTGTGTGTGTGTGTGTGTGTGTGTGTTTGTGTGTGTTTTCTATTTGTGGTTTCTTGCCTGTGGAGTACAGGATAGTGTTATGGTATGTGGGCTCTGTCATCAAATGCTGTTTTGCAAGCATGACAAATTAACGCATTTCCCTCACTTTCCTCATCCATACAATGCTCTGATAGTTACGCTCCTTTGTAGTATCTTTGGGTTAATCAAATAAAATTGTGCATATAAATCTATTAACCTATTGGAACCCAGGTGACTCTTGGCGAGCATGCACTATTACTTACTACTGATTTTGGTCAGCTTCTACCAATGTCCAACATTCAAAGAAAGTGAGACGAAGGCAATTTCCACTGATATTAATGTTAGTCTTTTAAAAGCTTTAGATTTGCTCATCTATTTGGAAGGCTGTTAGGATGTGTCCTCCCATATTGATTGTATGGTCCACATGCTACAAAGAATAAACTGATTATATACGTCACTGCAAGCTGAAGCCCACACAATGTATTTCCTTGGTTTTCACATGATGCTCTTCTCCTGACCCAGGGCTCCATCCAAGATCCTGTATGGCGTTTTGTCACCATGCCTCTTCAGGCACCCCTCCTCTTGGCTGCAGATGATTCTCAGAACTTGTTTGATGATCTGAACAGTTTTAAGGACTAGTAAAGCATTTGACAGACTATTCCCCAACTGGAGTTTATCTGCTATTCTTCCATAAAGACATGTTTTTAGAAACTGCATTATATTCCTATTCATTCCTTCTGTGTGATTCTCCCTCTCCCTTTTCCTCTCCCCCTCCCACTCCCCCCTCTGTGTGTGTGTGTTTGTGTGTGTGTGTTCAGACATACCACAGTGCATTTGTAGAGACCAAAGGACAATCTCCACTATGTGGGTGAGTTCTTTGAATTGAGACTCAGGTCATCCAGCTTGGCAGTAACATCTTTACCTGCTGAGATATTTTATCTTTCCCATGGCCCTGGTACAAAGTTCTTTAAAGCTAAGTTGGAAGCAAAATCAAGTAGAATCATGCAAAAGACTGACTGTTGATTGATCTTTATTATTTCTGAAATATATAAAATTTACCAGGAAGTTAACAAGCCCCACTTATATTTGAACTGGATAGGTTCAACAAAACTGAAAGCTTTTATTGCTTAAATAAAGCACAATGAGCCAGGAGGAAAGCTCAGTGCTAAAGAACCTGATTAGCAAGTATGAAGCCTTGGGTTAAATTCTCAGCACCCCAAATAATATGTAGACATGATAAAGTAAGACAGGAACACAGTGTGGGTGAGGGGTTGCTATCCTGCAGACTTTAGGGAATAGCAGAGATCAGGGGGAGCTGAGAGCCTCAGCTGAATAAGGGACTGCTGTCCTCTCACCAAGAAAAGATCAGCTTTGTCTTTCTATCTGTGGGTAGTGGAGGCTCTAGAGCCATCTGAGAAGGTGGACCAGAGTTGTCCTAGCTTTTCACCATAAAAGGAGTCTCATTGGGAAGCATCTACAGTGCAATTCTTTACAAGTGGCTTCTATTTTTCCTGTATTGTGTTTACATCAAGAGGTGGCGGCAAGCTGTGAGTCTATCATGGAGGCCTAACGACAGGAAAAGAATGAAACCAGAGCTAGGAGGCCCAGTGCTTCCTGATGGGTGTCTACAGACACCAGTTCTGAACCTGCTACAAGTAAGCTCTCGCCAAGAGGAGTTCTTGCACGGACTCCCCCAGGACGCCTGCTTCTGCATGGAACAACATGCTTCTCTTAACCTTCATCAGACTTTGGAAGCCAGAGTCAGTCTCTAGCCCTTATGCTTATCAGGTTTACCCGAGTCTACCCTATGCATGCATGTGTGGAATTCATGGTCCTCTAACCATATTTCCAGGAATTATTATATTGAATTAAATGTGTGCTCACCACCTTGATGAGATCTTTTAGAGTTGGGGCTTAGAAAGCTGTCCTCCCATCAACGAAATTGCAAATAGCTTCTCAGAAGTAACTGCTCTTGGAAAGAAACAAACTAAAGAGAACAGTCAAAGAGCAATGGCCTCACCTGTTGCCTTCATATTATTCTGTGGCTGCTTCACTCATTCTATCTGTGTCTCCAATAGTTTCTTGTCTTGGTGTGCCATTGGTTTTCCATACTTACAGGTCTACGTTTATGAATTCAAATGATTACGGTTCAGACAATTTCAGAAAAACAAATTGTACTTGGGTTGCTCACATACAGACTTCTTTCTCCGACGTATTCCCTAAATAATGTCCTATCATTTGGGGCCATGTGGTTTTCTCTATTCCATGAAACTGGTTTTATTGATCAGAAAGATATTAAGTGATTAGTGAAATGGAAGTTTAGAGAAGTGGAGGAAAGATTCAGAAGTTCTAACATGTGTTTAGGAAATGTACTAGAAGGAGAGAAAGATAGAACAAGAAAAGTGTAACTTTTAGGAAAGAATCCGGACTCAGAGGGTGAAAAGCTTGCTGGGAAATCCTGAGGACCAGAGTTCATATCCCAGAATGCACATAAAAAGCCAGTCTTGGTTGTACCGTTTGGTACCATATAGCTCTGTCATTCCTGTGCCGTGAGGGTGGGGACAGAAGAGTGGCTAGGGTTTGCTGGCTACCAGCCTACCTCCAGGTTTAGTGAAAACCCTGTCTTAGGAGAGTAGGACACAGTGTGTCTTGTAGCCTCTGCAGAGGCATACGGGCATACACATGTGTATCACAAGCCCATACACACGTATATACATATATGTGTGGCCACACATAGACATACACATGCTCGCACACATGTGCACACACAGCCATAAACACACAAGAATCAA